TTCTTTATTGTTTCTTTATTTTCTTTCTTTCTTTCTTATTATATATATATACATATATATATATAAGAAAATTTTAATCAAAAACTTTCTTTCAAAGGTCTCCTTTTGTGAGAAATCCTATTGAGAGCTTGAAATTATTGTGAAAGATTTTACCTATTTATAAGAAAAAAATTCTTTTCAAAAAACTTAAGAAATTCATGTGGGATTCAATCAAATTTATTGGAAGGAGACTTGAAATTTTGACATCCCTCTAAAATTTTTGCTTTTCTTTCAATCTAATTATTTGAATTAAAATTATATGGAAGGAATATTGAATATTTGGTTCCTTATTCCAAAATTAAAATTAATAATATTTTAAAATATATTATTATATTTTTTAGTAAGAAAAAATATTAGGAGAAATATTTAAGATAATTTAATATTTTAAATTTTTTGTTTAATTTATAATTTTATTACTTATATTTTTATTTAAATATAATTTTAATATATTTATGATGTCACGGTTCGATTCCAGTTCAACCCGACGATTGAACCAGTAATCTGTTCACCAAATCTCTTTTCTGATTCGCTTGACAATCCAATTTTTAAAACATTGGTTAAAACCACAAATCACCACAAGGAGAGCACCATAGAGAATTCAAATCCCAAACATTTTATTTGAAGGGTTCAGCTTGTCTCAAGTTGAGATCAAGACTGGACCCGTCCAGTTCGGTCCATGGGGTCCATTTTTTGGGCCCATTTTGATAATCCAAACCGATGTAGAACTCCTCGAGTACTACATGGCTGTAAAAAATCACGTTGATCGGATATCAATAACTTTGTGATCAAATCAATTTTATATAAAAAAATGGACGGTGAAACAATTAACGGTTGATAAAAAACTGTTTTGTTCACATAGTTATCGATATCCGATCAATGTGATTTTTTACAGGCATATAGTACTCGACAAGTTCTACATATTGAACGGTTCGAATTATTAAAACGAGACCCGTGATAAGCTCCCATGAGTCCAACAACACGATCCAATTCGATCTTAAACTGGACCAAAGCCACTGCCTTATTTTAAACATCTTTTCTTCAGCGTCACATTAGTGCACCGTTTTCTTTTTCTTTTATTTTTTTTAGGTCTATTTAGACTTTAAAAAATTGAATTTCTTTGAAAAAAAAAGATTACTAAAGATGGCAATAAACTGACTTCAATAAGTTTTTTTGTCCACAAAAGTTAGCTTATTTTCATTTTAGTGGGCTTTTTTTTTAAAAAAAATAATCATATGTTTTTTAATTTTAAAGTTCATCTAATGTAAATCAATCTATAAAAAATAAAATAAAATATCTCAAAAATTAGAAATATTCTCTACAAATAAAAATATAGTAGAAAATTTGAATTCAAATATGAACAACTCAAAAGAAATAGGGTGTGTTTGGTTGGTGTTTTGAGATAAATTTTCAAAAAAAAAAAATTTGAGAAGAGAGTTTAGAATTTTCTTTTTGTTTAGTTGTAGATTTTGAAAATAGTTTTGAAGTTTAGGAGTTTTGGATGATTTGATATTTTGTTGTAATTGAGTAGATGTGTGTGAGAGGGATAAGAGTAATGTTTGAGGGCCCGAAATGCTTGGCTCGAATGTGGCTCGAAATTTTGGGTTTCATTTTTTTTTTTTTTTCTTTTTCTCTTTTCCCTTTGTTTTCTCTCAATAAAACAGACAGCAGAAGGAGACAGAGGAAGAGAGAAGAAGAGAAGGGGAAGGCAGAGGTGGGCGGATGAGTGGATGAGAAGAAAGAGGGAAAGGGAACAGAGATAGAGAGAGCCGGAATCACCGTCGCAAACCACCGGTGCCGCCATCACCGTCGATCACATACCCCTCGAGCCACCGACGCCGCCTATGTGTATGTATACACACAGATCTGTATCTCTCTCTCTTCTCTCTCTCTGTTCCCCGGTCTTCTTTTCAATCAATAATGCCATGAAGCTTATCTTTTCAATCAATAGTGCCAGATTCACAAAGTATTTGTTTGTGTTCCGAAGCTCTTCTTCCTCCTCTGTTTCTCTTCTTCTTCTTTCTTCATCTTCTTTCTCTGTTCTTCTCTTCTTTGAGTTCATTCGAGCCAAAAGTCATTCGGGCTACCTAACAAAACTGAAAAATGATTAAGGAGAAAGAAGAGAGAAAAAGTAATTGATTGATGTGTAATAGTGAGAGAAAAGTAATTTTGAATTTTTTTTGAAAAAATTAATAACCAAACATGTTTTTAAATTTTTTTTTTTTTCTAAAAACATGTTTCAAAACATAGACCAAATACACCTTTACACTTTTATAGAAATACATGTCGGAGTAAATGAGAAGCACAACTTTTATTTCCACTGAACATATGCTCATTTACACTTTCATAAAATTATCGTAGGTGTTTGGGAAGTTATTATTTTAGTAGGTTAAAATTTTTATATTTGAAAAGATGATTAAATTTTTTGTAATTAGATGTGATGTTTGTGAGAGAAAAAAGTGAAATGATTATGAATTTAATGTGATATTTTATCTTATTAGCTATTTTAGCTTATTTTGTCTTTTTGTAAATTTTAACCTTTGGGTTAAAATCCCACTTTCCAAACATCCCCATAATTATTTTAAAGGTAAATTACAAATACACCTTCTGAAGTTTGCTTAAAATATGAATTGACCCATGTGGTTTGAAAAATTACAATTACCTCCTTGTTAGAATTTTTTATTTAACATAATTAATTGAAAAAGTGAAATTTCAAACTGTTCACCAATACAATAATAAAATTATCTGAATTATTAATTAAGATAAAATTTTAACATTATTAAAAATTATTAATTAATTTGATGATTTATTAATAAAAAGACCTATTTGTTATAAAATTACAAATCTTAAGAGGCATAATGTAATTTTTAAAATTAAAGGAATAATTTATAATTTAAATAAATCTCAGGGGATGTGTTTGTAATTTATCCTAAATTTTTTTATGAGAAAAAAAATGATGTGACCTTTAACCTTTTTAATTGATAATAAATCAAGTTTTTGACATTTAAAATATTTTATTAACCAAAAAAACTGACTTTTTTTAAGGGGAAATTTTAATTCAGTGTAATGTTTAAAAAAAAAATTACAAATGTATGGCAAATCTTATACACATTAATAATACAAAAAATATAAAGTTTTTTATAATTTTGTAATAAAGAAATATATATATATATATATATATATATTATTTGTAACTAATATATCATGAATAATATAAAAATAAAAAGTCATAGATATAAGTTTTAAAATAAAGTATATAATGATAAAATAATTTTTTATATACGAAGTTTCAATAAAAATTTAATATAATAGTAAGACTACATCATCATTGACATATGATATCACCAATCAATAGTAAAGAAACACATAGAGAATGAATCGCACATGTCAAATATAACTAACAATTCAATAAATTTCATATCTTCATTAAGATTAATTATATTTATATATCAATAATGATAGACATTACCATTGTATTGAAATTTTCATAGATAATAATATGACTTATCGTAATATCTTTATTTTTAATAAAAAACAACCATTATTATTCTCATAATTTTAAAAATATCATTAACACTTCTCTCTAAATAATATTTTATAACTTTTTATTTAAAATATTTTCTTTATATTTGTAAAAAAAAAAAGATTATAAACCTAAGGACACGTAACCCCCCCGGCCCCTCTATATCTCCGCCACTACACATGATGCAGCTAACGTCTCACTCTTATTAATTAGATTTATTTATTTATAAATCTTAATTAATAAATTTATTATTATAAATTTATTTATAAAAATTAAAAAAATAATAAATTTATCAATAAATTTTAAAAGTAAAACTTATTGATAATTTATCTTTTCTATTGATTAGACCTTCTAATAGCAGGGCTATGTTAAAGTATTATCAATTCATCAAACCATTTACCAATCAAATACTGTTCAAATACCGACTGGCCTAATGCATGATGACTTTCCTCCATGGCATTGCAAACAATCTCATCATGGACAATGCCTATAAAAATGAATAATATTAGGGATATCAAAATTTTCATTAAATAAATGATTAAATATCTCACATGAGTGTAGAAGCCGCAATTTGGTGAAAACTTCATAACTTTCAAAAGTTTCAAAATGTGATCTTGAGTTGAGGTCAAGTATAGATTGATTTATTATGATGCATATGATTAAGTTACTAAATATAGTGGTACGAGATAAGTATAGCTTGATTTATTATGACGCATATGATCGAGTCACTAAATAGAATAGTAGATTTTTTTAAAGCTTGAAAACTTTGACTGGTTTTAAAATATCAAGTTTAGCTTGTTTATAAAACAAATTTGCCTTGAAAATAAACTCGAGTAGCTTTGTTCATTTTGACTCATTTTCAACTACATTGTATCGTATATTTTGAGGGTTTGCACTACAAAAGTTGCCTTCAAAAATTAGAAGGCAAGGAAAAGAAAGTATTGCTGCAGGCAAATTTCAATCAATTCACAGACAGAAAAAATGCCACCTATGGGAAGGAGAATGGATCGTCGGTCGCCCTTCCCCGTCGCCCTTTCCTGTCGCCCCCAAAACGACGACATTTTGGGGGCGAATTTTCAAAAAAGAAAAACGCAGAAGAGGGAGGAAGGAGAGGAAGAGGGAGGGAGGAGGAGGGGAAGGGCCGGACTGGAGGGGGCCATAAATACAGGGGACGAGGACGAGGAGGTGGAGACGGGTCGGAGGCAGAGGCGACGGCGGTCGCAGGTGCTGCGACGAAGTGGAGCTGCTGCGACCTGCGACGGCGGCTACGACGGCGGCGAGGGACGAGGACGGCGAGCTCGCAGCCTCCTCCCTCCCTCCTCCCTCTCCCTCTTCCTCTCCTTCCTCCCTCTTCTCTGCGTTTTTTTTTTTGAAAATTTGCCTCCAAAACGACGTCGTTTTGAGGGCGACAGGGGAAGGCGACGGGTGATCCGGATTCCTATGGGAAGAGAAGAAACTGCCAATATGTTATTTATATTCTCATGTTTGCAGGAAGCTGCAAATCCAGGCCTATTTTGTTTGTTTGTTTTTTTGCAAGTGATACTGTTATTTACAGTGAAGCATACCCTACTGTACAGATCTTACAACTCATAGCATTTCATGAAGCAAGACTACATATGTTCCATGGATGCCACAGCAACGTTACTTCATCACCATCTGGAGACTAGACCTTTACGATCACTCCTATTTTTTTGCATCTAATAGAAGACTACAAGTTGCACTGCTGTTTTCAACTCTTTCTTGCAGAAATTACTGTATATGAATGAGATGTAGCTGAGGCTGCAGTTGCGGCAGTTCATATTCTTCGTCCGACGCGAAAAGAGAGACATTACGGGCTTCCTAGCACACAGAAAAAATGAAAAACCAACGAATTCAAAATGAAATATATTACAGATCATGGGACCGACTTATTGCAAGTTCACTTAAATACCTGTCTAAATAATTAGAACTAGAAAACCATAAACTACATTTCATGCAGGTCCTCTTGATCTATTGGCCGCACACTAAATCCTCTCAGTGCACTTTTTTTCTCAAGAGATTAGGGCTAGTTTGGGAATTGTTTATTTTATTCTTTTTGACTTTTTACAAAAAGATGTGCAGATAAGTAAAAAGTGTGATATGACAACTTCTTGTGATTTCTTGGCTAAAATAGCCTATTGAACCTACAATGTTAATAATACCCTCCTTCAACAACTTTCAAACCCTAACTAATCATTTCTCCTCCACCGTCAGTTAGCTACCCAACGCCACTACCGGCCTCCTCCCCCTTACCACTACAACCCCTCCCCCCACCCTCTTGTGCTATTACCCCTTTCCTCAACTTTCCCGACCACCCCAACTCCTCCACCATCCACTATCACCCTCGAACACCAGATATGTTCAATGATAGTTTTATGAAAAAACACTTTGGGTTTGATAGTTGATATTTGAACAAACATTATTGGTTTAGTAGTTGATATCTGACTAGCAGCGATTGGTAGTACGAACAGTGGTGGGGTTCGTGATGGTGGTGTCCGAGATGTTGGGTGAGGAAGATGGGTTGGTGACCAGTTATTGGGGATGTGGCTAGAGTGGTGGCCAGCAGTCGTAATGGTTCGGAGATCAGGATTAGGAATGGAGAAAATAAGGGTCATATGGAAATTTTACAGTAGGATAAAATTGTAATAAAAAAAAAAACTGCCGAAGTGTGTGAACTTAGAGAAATAGAAGCTCCCATATATTCCTGTCAATTTTCAATTTTAAGAAGAGTCTTTAGACCGGTATTTACTGCAGACGTGCAGCGAGGGTTTGAAACCAACTTAACCTAATTATCCGAACAAATAATTTGCAACTTGACATGGTACTGAACTGACCTGTTGGTGTTGCCTACGTTGGATACAAGTAACTGCTTTAACCATGATGTAGATTGGCAAAAGGATCCCGACGGTTCTCAAAATCAGTAACTGCAAAAATGAAACAGGTATATACTTTCTTAGATATCAATATGCTGAAATATCATCATAATTCTTTCTGCAAAATTAAAATGTCGTTGCCATCCTCACCATGAACAACGTAATTGTGTAATCTCCGGCTCCACCGATTATGATCGGTAGAGTAAGGCGTAAAACCAGAAGAACCATGAACTGCATTTGAAAATGAGAAAGGATTAACTTGAGAGGATGATAATATCTAAATACTAGGAAGAAATATCAGTCTTTATGCTTCTAGAATGCTTAAAATTGACATGCTCCGAAGATTTATTCCTCAAGAACTACAGAAGGATTTGAAAGAGAATTTAACTCAAGTAATGTAAACGCTCAAAAATAAATTTAGCATCAAAATAACTAAATTTAGGATTAAGGATCATGGCAAGCCTCACCTCTATTTATACAAGTAGTTCATCGTTTTCATTTTATTTTATTTCTTGATTAATTCCAAAGGCAAAGATTATTTTATTTACCAAACATATGCAAATCCAATCTGGATCTTAGAAGGCCCAATTGAACATAATTTTAGTTACAACTTTAGTCATTGGCTAATTTACTGAGGATCATCTTGATTATTACTTTTATTATATCTTCGCCTTCGGACAAGCACACACAAATGAGAGAGAGAGAGAGAGAGAGAGAGATTACAATTATAGCAACCACACGACAACATGTCAGGCTTCTTGAAGTGGGAGCTGAAAAGTCATCAAAGTTGGGATCCAGAAAGCTGCGATCAGCAGCAACCATAGCTAAAAATTGAGGATTATACATATCTCTTCTCAAAACCTCCCAACTTTCCCTGAAGTTCATTGGAACACTTGTCAATGAGAAGAGAGAAGAATCCAAAAACCAAAGCAGCAAAAAATTTAAAAATCTCAGTTTATCAAAATTGTATAAAGAGAAGTAAAGAAAATACCTGAAGTTCATTGGAATATTGCCATAATGAAACAGAGGAGGTGGTGCTGTGTAACCTGGCTTGAATTGCTGCAATTTTTCATTCAAACAAATACGAAACTAGTAACCGTCTCAGATTAATAATGGATAGTATTACTTAACAAATATCATCGCATACCAAATAATTTAAAAGCATTGAAAAATCAAAAGCACATATATAAGAAATCAATAGCAGACCTGGTGGCAAATCTCACACATAATGTCACCCTTCTCGTCGCACCATCTTTGGACACATTTTCGGTGGGCATACTGCGAAAGTGAAGAAAATGTTAAGCGACTACTGATAAAGATGGAAGCATCTGAAACCACTATAAAGAAACATAGCATTCAGAAAAAAAAAGAAAGGATGAAAAGATCAAAATGTAATTAGTGGGCTTAGACTTCCATACTCAATGATCATGGTCTAAGAAGCACGGACACTTCTAAGAAGGTGACATCCGTGTCATGTCCGTATTGGACACCGATACTTTTTGGACACTTCCCCGACACGTGTCCAACACTCTTCAAAACGTGTCATTTTTAATTTTTTTTAAAGACCTAGACATTTGAAGGACACACATGTCTATCGCTTAAACACACATATCTATCGATTAAACACAGATGAAACTAATTATAAATTTGAACAAAATAACTTAAGATGTAATAATAAAACAAAAACTATATAAATTTATTGGAATTTGTGTCATATTGCATTTTTTTATTATATTTGAATGCTATATTCATATATATAACAAAGAATAAATATATAAAATTATATATTTCATACGTGTCTCCCACATGTCGTGTCGTGTCGTGTCGTATCCTATATTTTTTGAAAATTGACGTGTCGGCGTGTCCGTGTCGTGTCACGTCGCGTCGCATTGCGTGTCCGTATCCATGCTTCTTAGATCATAGTTCAAAAACTAACTTCAAAAGACTGCTATCGTAATTGGAGATTTTCTCACACCAAAATGTCTACAGCGGGCTGAGACTTTCATACTCAATGATCATAGTTCTTGTTACATGATTTTATACGAAATTTGATACTCAGGATTACTATTAGTTACTTGATCACTATATGAAAAGTTGTATACAACCCTACTGAGACTGCATCTCCAATCCCGCAAACATGTGTTACCCAGATTTCAAGAACTAGTGGTTAATAATAAGAAGTACAATTCCACACAAATTTCCCCGTGTTAACAGGACCTGCTTACCATACAACTTACTTAAATATTAGAGTTAAAGGAACTCCAAGGAGAAGTAGGCAGTCTGTGTCATTGGAGAAAGAAAAGAAAGGTTCATTGAGAAAGTATTTCAAGAAATTACAGTTCCCTCCACAATTACATTCACACTAACATTTTTTTTTTTGAAAAAGTATATGAATTGAAACTTCATCCTATATTCCTATATTCCCCTCCGAATGATCAACATTGCAATCAGTTATGGAATCAATAGGTTATCAAATCGCTCATTTGGAAAAATGGAAAGCCTTCTTATTGGACGATCATGATACTTACCAAAAATGTAAATTCTTGATCAGCAAAGTAACAATATCACCGTTTTGGTTCAATAAGATACCAAAGTGGATGATAGACTCATTCCAATTTGCACACAATCATACTACAAGAGCTATGTGCATTCTAGAACAAAGATTGCAGCCAAAATGGATAATCCAATTGTACAATTGTAAAACCTCAAGAATGAAAATATGCATCGACCAGAAAAATTGGAAATGTAAGGATGAACTTGAGGTTTGAATTTCATGCATGAAACTAAACTGGGAATATGGAATTGAGGAACTGTAACAAATAAACCAAAGCAGATAATGACTTCGAGACAGGAAGCAAAACAATGCACCTATAAGAACATAAAAATTGAATGTTATGGTAGAAGTATATTGAACTGTTCCATCAATTTGACAAGTTTTGCAAACACTCTACAAGTAATTGACACGAAACTAATACTAAACCAAAATTTTCATCAACAATTTGGTATTTTACTCAAATGATTAGAGGCTAAAGAAACTGACCTTTAAAGTGCCACAGCATGAACAAGGAATCTCCATATTCGAATCTTCATCCTCATCGTGGCAAATTCTACACAAAACCAATTTCCTCGGTGATGATCCACTATCAGCATCCATCCTATGAGAAGAAAAACCATTCATCGTATCTTCACTTGCCGATGGAATGTCATGCTGCAACTGTTTTTTGCTCTCAATAGCGGCTTCAAGGGTGGATTCAGTGAGCAACCGATCCACCAGAAGCTCAAAATGATCCCCCATCCTTCAAATTACACAACTAATTGTTTGCATTAAAAAAGAAATGCAAAGAAAAATAATAATCAAGCCAACCCTTATCCGATCCCTTCTCTTTTGCTAAGAATGTGGGTAATCAAATCCCAATAAACTTACCCTGCATTTACATACAATAGTAATTTAGATGAAGAAACCAAGAAAGCAAAATAAAAGAAGGGTCACCTCTTTCAAAGCCAAAAATAGTGAGACATCTGCAATAGAAATGATAAAAGTCATCAAATGAAAGAAAAAGAAGTTTAGAACATCAAAAACAAAAATGTCAAAAAGCAAATCACATAAAAATAGGGGCAGGGAAACCTAATAATGGAGATGGAGGTATGTGTAAGAGTCAAAAAGCAACAATTAAGCTGCATCAAAACCAACACAGAAACAAAATTGGAGATATAAAGCAGAACAATTAGAAAAATAAATGCTAAAAGTGAAGGAATCTTTAACATGAGAGCACAAAAGTGCAGGGGACAAAAAACAAAAAAGAAAGAACAAAAGAAACATGAGAAGACAAAAATGGAACAAAGGTTACAAAGCCCAGATCAGGACAGAGAGAGGAAAACAAAAGTTGAAAGGCAAAACCCACATACAGATATGATTCAATGAAAAAACCCAGATTGTAAAAAGCAGAGATGAGCTTGAAAAATCAATGAGAAGCCATAAGAGGGAAAATTAACATGAAACTAATCAGAGAGAGAGAGAGAAGCTTACAAGAATGGGATTAGGATGTCTAAAACAGAAGGAAACCATTCTGTATTGTTTTTGTTTTTGTTGTTTTTGATTTCATTCTTTGTTCCTTCTCAAATCTGAAGATTGGGGTTTTCTTTCTTTAATGTTTCTGTTTTCGAAAGAAGCAAGAGATAGAGTGTTGTCATCATCGGTGGTGGTACACCATTCCAAGCCAATCCACCCACTATTCTATATTCTTCTTCTCTCTTTTCTGTTTTCTCTCTCTCCTCTCTGTGGGAGTGAAAAGTGAGAGGCGGAAAGCTGAGGGACCTCGGAGATTCTAATTGCAAATCCCCCATGACTGCCACCATTCTTTCACTGGTTCTTCCCTTCCCCAAAGCTGTGTTTGGATGCTCCATTTTATTTATTTATTTATCTTGGGTTAAATTATATTTAAAATAAAATAAAATAATAAACCATTTTTTTTATTTTATCAATTTAAATCTTAATATTTTAATTTAAATAGATACTAATAAAAATTTATAATTTATTTATGTATATTTTCTCCTTTATTTTTTTAGGGGCGTGAAAGGATAAAAACTTAAGAATTAAGAAATAAAATTTTAATTTTTTTTAAAAAATAATAATTTAAAACAAAATTTTATCATTTTTCTCCACATGCATACCGAATAATGGGGTGTTGAAAAAAATCAATTGAACCAATATCTCAAACGTAACCGAGAGGATTGTTTGGTTCTGATTTAAATTAAGTAATAATCATTAATTCTTGTTAAATTCTTAAATTAAGAATCGAATAATTTGTTTGGTTTGTGTTTCTCAAAAATTTTTGAGAAAAATTCTCTACAAATAAGTTTTCAAAAGTAATCAAACCAAACAAATTTTCTCGAATTTTTTTTCCAAAACTTGTTTGGTTTACAAGTTTTCCATACAAATCTCTCTCTCATACACATCAAATCAATCACTTTTTTCAAAACTCTCTCTCAAAATAATTTTCCAAAACATCTTTTGAAAAAAATCAAACCAAACAACTTTTCGTACTTTTTATCTCTAAAACTCATCTCCCAAACTCAAACCAAACATACCTGCCTCTTAGGCCTAATTTTTTTTTTTTTCAAATAAAGTTCTTACTTTTGTCTTATGTTACTCAATAAATTATTTTTTGAGTTTTGTTAACACATGATTCATGGTATTTTATTGGGAAAAAATATGATTTATTATTTTTTTTTTCATTTACTGCAGATGATTTTGTATTTCTTTTAATTGTTATGACGATGGCATTTATCAAAGAATTATTATTGATTATTTCAATTTCAATTTTCCATGATACTTACATTATTTTGGATGATTAGAAAATGACATATGATTAAATGAGCATCAATTATTATTGTTCTTTGCATGTGTACGCCAAGATTTATTCAATTAGAATTTAAGGTGAGTTTGGCATAGATTTTAGAAATATAAAAAAAAATAAAATATATCTTTAGTGATTTTTTTTTTAAAAATTATGTCAATTTTTTTTTTTAGCATTTCAGGTCCATTTTATATAATTAATTTAAAAAGTAAAAAATAAAAATATTGCCACAAAAAAAGATTATTTCAAAAGTTTTTTCCAATATTTTAAAAAAATTGTACTTTTAAAAATAAAAATATTGCCACAAAAAAAGATTATTTCAAAAGTTTTTTCCAATATTTTAAAAAAATTGTACTTTTCTCATCCATCTAGTAGAATAGAACCCTAAAGGTTAAAGTTTGTTGATTGTTTTTTAAATAAAAAAACTTCCTTAAAGATAAAATTCAAAACAAAAAAACAATCCAACAAGTTAATTTGAAGCTAGAAGAGACTTGTAGATGAGGCGCAAAAAGCCCAGTCTCCTTAACAATTTAATAATCAAGGGATTTTTTTTTTGATGAAATCCTCTCTTTTGGGCCTTTTTATTAGGATAAAGAATAGCTCAATTAATTTTTTTTCAAAAAATCTATGAGTAGGAAATGTCTACTTTAATAAAGATATTTTATAATTTTTATTTTTTTTTATCACAATATTATCCTTCTATATATACGTATCATACTTCTGAAATATTTGAAATCTGAGTTGAAGATCTCGCAGGAACGAAATCGATGAAGACGATCTCCAAATCTAAAGATCTCGCAGCCAAAGATCTCTCACTTGGTCAACAATAGACGATCTCGCCGCCAACGATCAACACTCTCAATTGAACGAGAGTTTCATTGAGATTTGTGATTATTGATCGAGTTTTAGAAGTTTTTCTTTTCAATTAAATATGTTGATTTGTTGATTAATTTATTTTGTTTTTGTTTGTTTGTTTTTTTTGATTTATTTTTGTTGTTTTTTTATCTAATTTCATTGACAGAACTAGAGTAAAATTTTACTCTGGTTCTATTGCTTTGTATTTTGTTTGAGAGAATTAGAGTAAAATTTTACCCTGGTGTTAGAATGACAGTAAAATCTTACTGCTAAGAGGTGGTCATTGCCAAACACTTCAGCCGCCACAAACACTGCCTTCGCTTTTTTACTTTTGTGCAAAGTAACATTTTACTTTTAGCTTCAGAGTCTAACATTTTACTCGTTTTTCAGAGTAAAATTTTATTTTTATACAGAGTAAAATTTTACGTTTGTGTAGAGTCTAACATTTTACTAGTTTTTCAGAGTAAAATTTTACTTTTATACAGAGTAAAATTTTACTTTTAATTTCAGAGTGTAACATTTTACTCTTAGTCAGAGTAAAACTTTATTTTTATACAGAATAAAATTTTACTTTTAAATTCAGGGGGTAACATTTTACTCTTAGATTCATAGTGTAACATTTTATTTTTATTTCAGAGTAAAATTTTAATTTTATGCAGAGTAAAATTTTACTTTTACATTCATGTCTCAAGTTGTATTGGTAACACACTGTATGAGTTGTCAAATCTTGGGCAAACCTAATACTAAAAAATAACTCTAAAATATAGTACAATGTTACACTAAATCATAGTAAAATTTTATCAACACAAATTGACTTTTGGACTTGTGGTGGCAGTAAAATTTTACTTTGATAGTGATAATAAAATTGTACTTTGATAGTGACAGTAAAATTTTACTTTGATTGATAGTAAATTTTTACTGTTAATTGTTTCATATTTCTCCACTTATATAGAAGGACATTTCAGTCAATTCATGATATTTTTTTAATTGAGGAGCTTTTGGAGTCATTGTTTAATTCCGTGGGCTTTACACAAAATAGGCCCAATGGGAGGAACTTTTCACCAAAAATCCCTTTAAGCAATTGGGCAATACAATAATATTGATTTTTGTTTGGGCTTCTAGAGCAGGGTGGGCCGAGTTTGAAACCAATACTTGACTGTCTGCCTGACAAGGCAAGCCATGATGGCTCAAGGGCCATGGGCTCACTAAAGCCTACTTTTTAACCACGACTGTCAGAAATTTTATGAGGGGCTAATATTATAATAAGTATTTTAAGACTATTAGTTGTACAAAACTTATAGATATTTAAATTCATCATGTAAGACTAATCCGTAATTTATTCAAATTTTTATTAAACTTTCTGAAATACATGTGTTATTATTATCAATGAATATTCTTAGCTAATAAAAAACTCACAACACACATTTGTCTCTCAATTATTACCTAACAAAAGTGAATTAGCACCACTAATAACATTTTTTTGTTAAATGATTAGTTTAGAATATCACATAGGTAATGCCACATAATACTCTAGAACTACTTAAAATAGTGACGTAATATATGTATTAATCTTTTGAATTAACCAATGCTCATCAATCTAAGATGGAGTTTCAAAAAATAAAAATAAAAATCTAAATTAGAGGGCATATGGAGAGGGAAAAACTCCACCTTAAATGATTCCCAAAATATATTGTTTTAGCAATAGCCCTTTTCATATTTATATTTTGCTTGAGCTTCAAATTTTCTTTAGTTACACTCTCTCCATCCGAAATTATTTGCTTGGCATGGAAATCAAGAACTTAAAAATAATGTATTTTTATATCTAAATTTTTAAATTTTTTTACAAATTAAAATTACTCAATGAGGTCTTTTAATTGGTGAAAAAAAATTAAAAATTTTAATATTTTTAAGTTTTTATTATTAAAAATTTTATTTTTGCGTAACAGACAAATAATTTAAAACCTAGATATATTATTTTTTTAGTTAGGTCATTTGTCCAATATATGACAAAAGATATGAATGGATGGACGTGCTATATTTTTTTTTGTTTTTTTATGATTGGAATGTGCTATAGTTGTTTGAGCATTCTTAATGGTCTCCTTATTCACACTTTTGTTCTCTTTTAAGAAATCAAATACAAAAGAATTTCTTTCAACCGTCTCCTTATTTAACTCCCTATCAAGGGAGAGAACTTTCACTCCCTATAATTAAAAAAATATATAGTTTACTCTCTTATTCTTTTTCTTTTTTTCAAATGGTGGAGGAGAGAGAATAAAGTTTAGAAAAAAAAATTATAAAAAATAATTAAGAAGAAATATTTTTTAAATATTTTAAATATATAAAGAAAAAAATGAGAAGTATTGTTGGAGATGATACTTAAAAAAGTGGTTCCTTAATAAGAAAGACATTTTTTAATTAAAATTGGAAAAAACATGAAAAAAGATTGTTGGAGATGCTCTTAGATACGCAAGTTAAGAAAAAGACAAGTGATTATGAAAGGAATATAAAATTCACATCATTAAATTGTACATAATGGAGCCAGTTAAATGTACCTTAATTTGTTAGTATTCATAGGCTATGTTTAGCATGAATTTTTTGGATTAAAATAATCATAAAAAGATAAAATAGGTTAAAAAGTCAATAAGATAAAATGTCACATCCAAATCCTAATTATTTCATTTTTTTTTATAAAATTCAAAAAAGTCAAAAAAATCATCTCAAACGAGACTTTATAGTCTTAGGCTAAAAAAATTTAAGAATCAACCCACATCCCAAACGAAAGTATATTATTTTCACCACAAATGGACCCCATGTAGTAATTAATATATTCCTTCTTGATAAATATATATAATTTAATTATGTTTATATAATTTTTTTTTATATGGACATAAAACTCCAAAACTCTCTTTTCGTACATATGAAGAGTCATGCCACCATTTATCATCTTTCAAACTAGTCTGTGACTTTCGTAATGGAAATTTCCTACTTATGTTATATTTGAAATTTAAGTGTCCCTTTTAAGCTTTCGTTTGAGAAGTGAATTCATATTTTGGATTTTTAATTATTTTAATTTGGGTTAAAAAGTCTCATTTTGAATAGATTTTTTAATTTTTATGAAAAATAAATAAAATGATTATGATTTGAATATGACATTTTGTCTTGACTTTTAGCTTATTTTGTCATTTTATAACTAAAATAATCTGAAACCAAAGTGTTTCAAATCACTATTTTTCATATCACTTTTAATTTTATTTTTTGATAAAATATGGGCATAAAACTCCGAAGCTCTCTCTTCATACATAAGAAGAGCCATGTCACCATTTATCATCTTTCACACTAGCATGTGACTTTCATAATGGAAATTTCTTACTTGAGTTATGTTTGAAATTTAAATTTGTAAAGTGCCTTTTTTAAGTGTTTTAAATCAGTATTTTTTCATGTTGTTTTTAATTTTATTTTTGATAAACCTTATTTTGTTTGAACTCAAAAAATAGTCTAAATTGGATATTAAAAACATAGTATAAAATAAATTTCAACAGCAATTTTTTTTTTAAATGACACTATTAGCATTTTTATTATTTTATTTGTTTATTTTGTTTAGTGTGTGTTGCTTTACTTACTATAAAATTTTGTATCACATCAAAAGGTTAAGAAAGTTTTAAATTCACCCTTGAATGATGATGTGAATGCTTTTAACCATATTCATTTAACCAACATGTACTATAGATTGTTTGTTATTATGCTTAATGAATCAGTTCTCATGATTCATGAACTAAGAAAAAATTCAACTTTTACACCTCCCAACGAAACAAAACAATACTAAAAAATATATTCACAGTTATCTACAGTTTATTTAAGCGAATTAAAAAGTATTAATTATGTTAGTTTGTCAATTACTGATCTCCTTCTAATAATTTAAATTATTTATCTTGGTTATTAATATTTATAGATCACTAATAAAAATGAAAACAGAAACAAATAATCTAACATATTTGTCGTTAGATAACACCCACATCCAACCAAAAGAAAAAAAACAAAACAAAACAAAAGAGAGTCCTCAATTTTCGAATTTCTTTCAATCCTTATCACTTCATCATATCATTTTCTTTTAATTTAACCCCTGTGAGCTGAAATAAAGCATATCCATATCCATCATATCTGTATTTTCCATTTGACTCTTCTCTCTAAAACAACTAGAATTTATCCATATTAAATTTTGAAAAAAATGAATTAGAGTGCTGCTATTAGAACTTTATCAATTATTTTGAACTTTCTATTTTTTTAATCCCCACTTATAAATTCTAAAATTTTAAATTTTCCTTTTTCTCCCAAATAATACCAAAATTATCATTGTTAAAACATTCTACCCATTCAATTGAATCCACACCCACATATTCCAAAAAGCCTCTCTCTCAAAAACCCTAACAAAACCCACGAATGTTATTATTACTTCATCTCCACATACTTGTTCATGACTTGAGAAAATAAATGTTCGGTTATCGGTTCCCGAACAAATAAATAATGTTTAGGTTTGTGTTCCCGAATTTCGGTCATATGTTCGGAAGTTCAGTCCTAAAAAATGATGAACAGTTTTTATTATTGTTGTTATTTTTTTTCCAAGAAACTTACCTTTATAAGGTCAATCTCCTTTGAGCTAAGAACACTATCAAGTTATAAACCTCCTTTGAGTTTTTATTGTTCTAAACCTCTTGTCTTATGGAGTTGTAGTTGCTGAAAAAATTTCCACTTAAAAAATATAGGTAATTAAATGGTTGTCACCATTACTGTTGGAATATTCTCATCAAAAGATTTTCAAGGTTTTGAGGGTAAGCCTCTGTTTGGGAAGTGGATTGGCTTTTTGGCTTTTTGGCTTTTTTGGCTATTTTAGCCTGGGCTAAAAAGCTTGGTTTGGGAAGGGCTTTTTGACTTTTTGGCTTTTTTGACTTTTTTTGTGAGAGAAGAGTGTAATGATTATGGGTTGGATGTGATGTTTTGTTTATTATGGCTAAAATAGCCTATTTTGTCTTTTGTGGCTAAAATAGCCAAAAAAGCCCATAAACTTACTTCCCAAACGATGCCTAAGTATGTTTTGAAGGTGAGATTTGAAAAAGATAGATGGATGGTGAAATATGTGGATACTCTTATAAATCTTAACTCATGATGTAGTGGGTGTGTGGACTTAATTGTAAGATGGGATATCTCAAAATTATTGATATTTTTTTTAGTAATTTCAGTTAAGGTTATTATTATAATAAAAAAGAGTTAAAAAATGAGAGGTCCAAAATAATAGATGGAGTGCTAATAGCAGTACTCATAAATTATTCAAAGATATGGGTTCGTTTGGTTTGTATTTCTGAAAAAATTTTGGGAAATTTTCTCTACAAATAAGTTTTTAAAAGTAATCAAACCAAACAAATTTTCCCAAAAAAATTTCTCAAAATTTGTAAACCAAACAAGTTTTCCAAACAAATCTCTCTCTCACACACATCAAATCAATCACTTTTTCCAAAACTCTCTCTCAAAATAATTTTCCAAAACATCTTTTGAAAAAAACCAAACCAAACAACTTTTCATACTTTTTATCTCTAAAACACATCTCTCAAACACAAACCAAACAACTTTTCGTATTTTTCGTACTTATGTTTTAATCCAATTTTACCCTCCATATAAATATTCAACCTAAAAATTAACCTAATCATTAGAAAAAAGAACATGTGTCAAAATTATTCAGTGGGTTTGGTTTCAGTTTTTTGAATTTAATTTTCTGAAAATTGAGTTTTTTGTTTTTTGTTTTTCGTATTTTTTATTTTTAGTAAATATTTTTAAAATTTTAAGCATTTTTTTTATTTTTTTAGATGCACCTTACTTAGATGTATTTAAAAAGTAAAATATTTGTGAAAAAATATTTCAAAAAATTAATAAATATACAAAAATATAAAAAAATGTATTGAATTTTTGAATTTTTGTATTTTTGGTATTTAGTGAATTTTTAAAAGATTTTTTTATGAAAATTATACTTTTTAAGTATATTTATGTTACTTGTGTCTAAAAATTAAAAAAATTACTTAAAATATTTAAAAAATTTAGTAAAAACAAAAAAAAAATACGAAAAGTGAGAAAATAAAATTTTTTGAAAAGTGTTTTTAAAAAACCTAAGCCAAGCAAAGTGATTTATGTTCAAAACAAAAAGATAAGTTAATTAAAACAATCTTATTGGTTTGTCGTTCTGAAATGCAGTTTACATAAGAAATTGAAATTAATTCCATTTTAAAATACAACATAAACCAAAATAAGGTGTTCTAAGTATTTCCATTTAGCAAAACATCTAAACCTCATTTTTAAATGGAAAACATTACAAATTTAGAAAAGTGTTCAAAATCTTGTGTTGACATCATTACAATTGTGTTGACATCACTACATTTATTCTAAATAAGCTCCACACTCCACTAAAAACAAATGCACTGCTGCTACACTGTATTTTTCACTCTCTTTTTTATATTATTTTATTTTTAAATTTGTAGCATACTTTTTAAAAAGAGCCAATCAATTTTCATGGAGGTATTTTTCACTCTCTTTTTTATAGTATTTTGTTCTTAAATTTGTAGCATACTTTTTAAAAAGAGCCAATCAATTTTCATGGAGGTATTTTTCACTCTTTTTTATATTATTTTATTTTTAAATTTGTAGCATACTTTTTAAAAAGAGCCAATCAATTTTCATGGAGGTCTATTTACCTAACTCTAACCTTCGTTTGCTAATAACTTTTTTTAGTTAATTTTTTAATTTTTTTAAACTTTTTTAATTTGAGATTTTTTTTATTCGTTTGATATTTTTAATTGGCTTTTTTGACTTTTTAATTTTGGAATAATAAATTTTTTGTTTGTCTTTTTGTAATTTTTAACTTTTTATGATTTTTTGACTTTTTTTTTATTCTTTTGTGATTTTTTTAACCAAACCCAAAAACCAAATAACCCTAAGAAATATGATTAATCAATGTTAGTCAGTAATGTGGGTTGGCTTAGATTACATATTCAACGCTTTTTCTTTCACACTGCTGTCAAAGTGTTTAAATTTTCAATTTATTTTCTCCATCAATCAAATAAATTTCCATCTATCCACCAATTTTATTCATCGAATTTAAATCTTGTTTTCATTTCATAACTTATCCAAATTCATATTTGGCAGAATTTGCATGACTCAAGGTAAAAACATGATTGCAAATAACATTAAACTTGTTTTTCAAATGCAAGTTACTTTGAATTTATTTTTAAAAATTTAAGTTGTTTTATGAAGTTGTATTTTAAAAATACGATTTCAAACTTTAAGTCGTGTTTTCAATCAATGACTTTAAAAAATACATAAGTGTCGTTTGGAAACTGTCTGTTTTAACCTAAAAGTCAAAAAAGTTATTTAAAAAAATTAAAAGCCAACAATCTATACCAATAATTCAAAATTCCCTTTTTTTTTTTCTATTTTTTGCATATTTTTTCGTAAAAAATTAAAAAATCATTCCAAACATACTAATTTTTTTTACTTTATATTTTAGCAAAAAAGTAAAAAAGTTACTATAAAAGTCTATTTCCAAACGAGGCCATAATGTTAACTAAAGTTGGGCTTTGAAAATAAATTTACAATAACTTGACTTTGGAAATAAATTCAAAATTACTTTGGCTTTTCAGAATTTTGTTTTGAAAAAGAAGAAAAAACTCCAGAAGTGGTACACAATAGTCTCTTCTAATTTGCTCTTCAAGTAAGAAATCAACTGTATATGCATCAGACAATATATATTGGCTAATTTTCATCAAACTCCTTGAGAAACCCATCAAAACAAACACTAAAATGGGATAGAACAACACTTAAAAATGTGGAAGAAAAGAAAGAAAGAAGCTAAATTAAAGTACTAAAAACCATATGCAACTTTTCAAAACCAATTAGGGCACAGCCATTACTGCCCAGCAGCAAACGCCTCCACGGGAAAACTTTTGGTGATGCCTCTTGAAGTGCATTTTTCCGGTGTGCAAGTCATCAACGGTGATCTCATTGACCGGAGGCCATAGCATGAGTTCCTTCGCTTTCACACCCTTTAGCTTCTCGATCCTCTTCTTCTCGACATAACCAGTTATTTCACTATTATAACTCACAAGCTTGCTTATCATCTTGAAGTTGTGCTCAACTTTCTTCTTTTGTATAATCCGCATGTACCCAGTGTCCTTCACAAACCCAACTTCAACCACATCGGCGAGAGGGAGGAGTCCCAATGGAAGTTCATGCTCTTCAAGAAGAGAAATTGCCATTATTAGCCCTAATTCATGGCCTTTCTTGACAATCCCACCTTCCTTCTCTGCCATGATTGATTGATTAAATGTTTTCAAAGGATGGTTACTTTGGAATTAAGGTGAAATAATCAACATCATTTTATATTGAGTTCGTCACATGCATGAGGCAAATTTAATGGAGAAACCAAAATGTGAAGCTTTGTATTGTTCACCCAAAAATCTTAAAAACTACCAAAGTTTAATCTACTTTTGACCGGCCCCATCAATGCCAAAAGCCGTCAACATGTATTTATAAGAAAACCCTAGATATGTTTCAGTAGACATGAGAATTTCAGTCTCAAAATTTTTCTCTTTTTTTATGTACTCTGGTAAAAATTTTGAAGACAAAATCTAATTGAAAACTGCGTGATAAATTTACATAAGCAACTTTGATTGCTTTCTCTAAAATCATCAATGACTTGTGAGTTACTTGACTTAAAATGGTATTAAACATTGCAATCATAGTGATTATTAAAATTGTATGATTGGATGTTTATGGTATTTACTCAAAGTTGATTGCACTCAAAAAAAGTACTCCCCATAAAATTAGGAATGAAATGGTCTGTTTTACGAAAAATGCTGAGGAAACACACTTCTTTCGCATTTCTAGTAATTAATAGGATTAGTTTGTTAGCCGAGTCATACTTCATAATTGGAAAAAAAAAATAAAAATAAAATTAAAATTAATAAATTCAATTATGAGACACTTGAAATAAGAAGAAGATGATGATAGAACTGATTAATTTAACACGTTGAAACAATTAACAACAATTAATAATATGGATATGCCCAACTTTATTTAATCGAAGGATGTACGTGGAATAATTCTTGCATAATAAAAAAAAAAAAGAAGATCTCCTCAAATTCACATGACCTAAATCTCTTCTGAAACTGTATATTTAGATCAAGAATTCAAGAAGAGATTTATACACGAAAAAGGTAGAAGCAAAAAAACTGCATTCTTTCGTTTCATTTTCTTCCATAAATCCTCACAAGTACTTAATCCAAACACAATCTAAGTTAATAGAAATTCAAATATAGAATATTGCGGACCTTTCTAACTTGCATTAATCACTAAAACAATATGTAAATCACCCTAGTGTTCCTCCTATTTTCTTTTTCTTTTGTTTTTTTTTTGGTTCCGAATTCACATAGTTGGGAGAAACATAGATACAAACCCCTTAGCCACCTCTATAGCATGGAGTATGAAAACAAAACTAGAAAAGGGTAAACTCAAAGCAACAAGTGCAACCATTCCCATAGCCAAAGACGGCCTTGTATTCATCAAGACCGATTGCAGCCACCCCATTGCTTCACAAACATCCTCGTTGTAATTCTCATAATATTTCTTCTCCCACTCCATCCAATCCGAAGGCAACACGTGGCTCATCTCCGACAACTTCAACTCCCGAATTCGCATCCGAAGGACGATCATGCCCTCATCCACCGGCCGATCTCCACCGTATAAGTCTCCACCGTCGACTCCTCTTTTCGCTCTAATGGGCACAAATCTCCGTTGGGGATGGCGGGGCGATTTGGCCGGAAACAGCCTGTCGAAGGGTGGCGTTGGGCGGAGAAAGGTGGCTGCTTCTAATACTTTCATGGTTGAAGTGAAGGTTTTAATGTTGTTGATTTTGTGGTTTTTTGGGGCTAGTTAGGATGTTTGAGTATGTGGTGTGTCTTGGAAGTGACTCAAAACTATGAGGGGGTGCAAAGTACATATATAGAGAGAAAATATGATTAGAAGTAGCGCGTAGCAGTATATTATAAACTTAGTCACGAAGGGTCATGGCTTGGTCGGCAAACAATAAACATTGAGTCTGGTTTTTTATAATGATTTTATTTTATTTTATTTTTACTTTTTAATACAACAAGACATATTAATAATATATATACAAAACGTCGAAATTTTGCTTTTAATTTTAAGAATAATATTACACTTATCATCTTTTTATATTATTTTTAATATATTATCTCTTGTGTTAATTTATTATTAGTGTAATGATATAGAGTATAGAGTACTATTTTAAGAATAATGAATTTTTTTTAAGATGGAAAAAATAATTATTCATTGAAAATGGTTGTGTATATTTAAAAACCTTGATGTTTCTTGAATAATTTTTAAATAAAAGCTTTGAATTTGTAGTATTACTGATAATGCACCTTCATATGCTCTACCAGAAAAGATATGCAAAAATAATTTGGTTGAAATAAAAATTTTGCAATTATTATGATATGTCACATAATTAATCAGAACTTCTTTGAAACTGAAATTATTAAAGTTATAGAGATTTTGTGTCTGATTCCCTTTGAAGACACTGTTTATGGTTTAAATTTGCAATTTTTTTATATATTAATGTGAATAACTCTTACAATCCTACTGATATAAATTATATCTTTAAATCAACCCATCTTAAATACTTTTTTATATAATAAAATACTTAAATATTGTCATATAAAAAAATTATTATAGATCATAACCAAACACCACTTGAAGTATAATTAAAGATCCGATGTACTACTTTAGACATAACCAACAATATAAGAAATTAGCAAAGATATTTTCAATTGATAACCAAAATAATACACCATGAGTTATAATTAAGTCATAATTTGTATACAATAGAAGTTTTTGTTGTTTTTTTAATTTTTTTTAGAAAAAAAATGTTTTGCTACAAAATTTGATTAACACAAATGAGGATTTGATTTGAGGTTGAGAATACACTTTTTTTTTTTTTTTTTGAACTTTGAAATAAATTATTTTTATAAGCCTATTTTACATAGGATCACACACAGTGACAAAAATTTTCATCAGCCATTAATAAATCTATTTATATTTGACTTTTAATTATTAAAATTTCCTACACATAATATTAAGACTTAAAATTAATTTTTCATTTTAAAAATAAATTTTCTACATCACACAGTATTGTAAATAAAATTAGGTGAATACTGTATTCAGTCTTTTTGAAACAAACGGGTGCTTTGGCAACACACTAAAAAAGTCAAAAATTAGTTTTTAATCCATTTTGAATCACACCATCTCTCACGTAAAATAGTAAAAAAAGTTAAAAAATTAATTTTTAACTATCTTCTCAAAACACGCCGTACTGTTCCATTTTGACAATTGTTAGCATAAATAGTAGGTTCTAACACCTGTTTAGTGTTTGATAAATAATATCGAGCAGTGCTCCAAAATACCTAATGATTTTTCATGCACTATGATTGATTTGGGAAATGATTTTTTAATAATTTTTTTACTAAAATATGACGTAAAATAAGTTGATTTTTTGGAAGTAATTTTTGAACTTTTTATAAAAGAAAAAGGTGTAAAAAGTAAATCAAATGAGAAAAAAAATTCAACTTTTTTGTATGACTCTTGCCCTTTTTATTTTTCTAATAACTTTTTGACTGGATTACAGACTCTTAAAATATGAAGTTATTGAATAAAAATTGATGATATTGTTATGTAATATAACTGTTATATTTAATATTTATGCAGGTAAATTATATTTTACTCTTTTATATTTGGCCATTTTTTTTATTTTGACCTTTAAAATTTATTTTTTTTTACTTTGACCATTTTTTTTTAATTTACTCTTAAAGTTAACTTTTATTCAAAATGTCACATTAATTGTCACACGACATAAAAAAATATATTTTTATATTAAAATTTTATGTCAGATGGCTGTTAACGTGTTAAATTTTGGACGTAAGTTAACTTTTGAAGTAAATTAAAAAAAAATAAAATATGAAAAAGGTGAAAATAAATAAATAAACAAATTTTAAGGTTCAAAAAAAATAAAAATAAAAACAACTAAATATAAAAAGAAGAAAGGATAATTAATCCTATTTATACATAGGGACGCATTTGACATGACAACCCGTGTCCGCACCACATTTGACGTGGGAGGTCTTTGCGCGTGCATTTGCGAGGAACATGACAAGTTATGAAGACTGAAATTTCTTCCAAATATGCTTTTCAAAATATGGGAACAAAAAAAATAAAAAAGCCAAAAAAGGAAGATTCATGTTTTTGGACGATAGAGAATGTGATGTCAGGATTACAAATATTGAACAATTATTCTAAGAGTTCACAAAAATGAATATGAAAGGTGTGTGGGTGATTTTCCAATCACACTGCCCTCTTAGTAACTAGCTGGAGAGCACTGGCAGAATAGATGGCACCTGACTGACCTACAACAGAAATATAAGAATCCCGCGGTGGTTTCGACCATCCGGGGGCACTCCGACGATCAAGTCCGTATATCTCTCAAAGATAATCAAGTACTAAACTCACAAGCTTGAGTATCAAAAGTATACCTTAAACCCATGGAGGTGCCTCTCTTTTATAGCCAACATAAACATAGTCCCAATAGAAGCCTAACTTCTATGGACTCAGGATTACTGCTAATTTGGGACTTCCAGTGGGCTTAAGATAAACTCTCTAAGAGTCTCATCTTTACCCAAACTGAAGTCTTCTCCCAATCTAGGACTCTTGTCCATATCCAGGTTGAGTTCCTTTTTCATTCTAGGACTCTTGTTCCTTATCCACTTATCTCGGATTCTGATATCTTCAGAGATAACCTCGGCCTTGCTGAGATCACTTCGGCGTCACGACCAGGACACGTGGTACCTCGGTTGACATGTCGGCGTCACCTTGCCACGTGTTGGTACTCAGAAAATATATCTCCACAACTGCCCCTAGGTTCTATTACCTCGGCATTATGAGGTGATGGAACCTACACTGTTCGTTCATCTGTGCCCCTCTGTCCGAGATCAATCTCGCCGACCTCAAAGTTCTACGGACTTTACTGTCCACTTTTGTCAAGTATCAAGCTTCATGCTTTCCAAGCTGCTCGAGATCACACCTCCTAGCCGAGGTACTTGTTCCATTACTTCGTAAACTCCAAGAGCTTTGCAACTGCTCCACTCACACTCTCTGGTGAGTTTCCAGATTTCCAGTCACCTATTTGACTCCGGCGATCTTTATATCGGCGTTCATTTCATTTTGTAGGTTCATAAAACTCTTTACTTGCTATTGAGCTCAATCTTTCATAACTCTTCTGTTTTACTTTGAATCTGTTTATTTGCCATCTGTTGCCTTCTGTTCTCGTCTGTCTTCAAGTCTTGAATTGTTTGAATGCTTAGTGCCTGTGTACTTGGCTTTATTCTTTGAACTTTGTCATCTTCTTGACTCTGCTTTTTCTTTTCTTGTTTTTCTTGTTGTATTTCCAGATTCTTGCTTTCGTTTCTGTTTTCTGTATAGTCTTACGTCCCTTCTTGAAATTGTTGCCGAGATCATGGTAGAGAAGCTCTTCCAGCTGATTGCTAATGCTTTTTTGCTTCTGAAAAATGTCTGTTGTTGGTCGATGTTAACATCCCTTGCTCCTTGATTATCATTCATTTTTCCACTGTATTTGATAGCCATGTCGGGTAATTGACTTCTCGGATGGCCCTGAGCTCCAAAAGTCTGTCTACTTCTTCCTCTACTGCTTCGACGTGCATCAACGTCGGTCCTTTTGCTCGTTGGATTTACAGGTTTGGCCGACCAGTCGACGTTCAATTGGTGGCAAGTGACCTTGGGGTCAATGCCAGGCATTTCGTAAGGTGTCCACGCAAATACCTCAATGTTTGCTCTAAAAAAAAAACTTTAAATTCTCTTTCTTCTTCTTCGGCTAAGCCTGAGCCGAGAAGAAAGAAGCATTCTTCATCTCCCTCCTGGACGAGGATTTTCAGTGCCTCTTCACTCCTTTCGATTGGCTCCTTGCCGACATCATCTAGGACCTCTATGTCCTCGTTTTCAATCTCTGCCTTCCCTGGTTCCCGAATGTTGCAGGTAGTTTTCAGTGCTGCCATGGAGCAATTCTTTGCCTGCAGTTGGTCTCCTCTGACTTCTCCAATCCCATGTTCTGTGGAGAACCGCAATAGTTGATGCAACGTTGAGGGAACTGCCCCCATTGCATGCAACCATGGCCTTCCCAAGATGATGTTGTAAGGTGAAGGCGTGTCAATCACGACGAATTCTGTTTTGATCTTCTTCAAACTGCTCTTGCATGATTCTATACTTAGAATATTTTGTATGCCTTTCATACTTTGCCTTCTTTGTGCAATCTTCTCGGGGTTACATACCTCGGGTATAATAGCTACAAAACTTTTACTTCGGCAAGATACTGACCTGCAAACTTTTTATAAATTCTAACAAGTGCGAAAGATATACTACTCAATGTTAACTTTGCAAACTTTTTCTCAAGTTTCAACAAGTGTTTAAACAGTGATCTCGGTCTAGCCTACTTGTAAATTGCTACAAATTTCAACAAGGATTAGCATATACTGTAACAGAGATCAACAAGGATTAACAAGTTTAAACAATAATCTATTTGTAAATTGCTACGAATTTCAACAAGTGTTTAAACAACATACTTAGCTTTTTCCTCAACCTGTAAATTGCTGCAAATTTCAATAGATGATCATATGTCGGCTTAACGTTATCTTGTAAATTGCTACAAATTTCAACAAGTGTTAAGCATCTTCTTTGGTTTAACTAACCTGTAGATTGCTACAAGTGTTTAAGCAATAACCTCGGTTTTGCTTCAACTCGTA